CATTTAAGGTTTAAATAGTTATAAGTTAACATGTTAAAATCTCAAAATATTTTAATATTTTAAAACACAGCGATAGTGTATTAAAATTATAGTCATTTAGGTTTTTATAATAATCACTTAAGATAAAAATAAGATTTAATTATATCTTTTTAGAAGATATAAATTAAATCTCCAGAAATTTAAGTCAATTAAAAAAAACATGTTTTTTTTTACCAAAAACATAAATCTTGTTAGTTGTACAACATTGTTGTTCGCATTTGTTGTACAATGTTGTTTTGATCAGTCAAGAAGTTTTTTTTTATCAACAATTATCAATGTTTATCATCATCTATGTTATGTTTGGTTTTATAAATAGAAACTGAAAGAAGATGTTATGTTTGGTTTTATAAATAGAAACTAAAAGAAGTTATGTTTGGTTTGATAAAAACAGTCAAAATAAAGTCATTAAGTAGCTCTCCATCCATCAGATTTTATTTAACAAAAAATCTCTTTGAGTTTTTAAAGTTAAACATTAAAGTTACAGTGGAACTCTCCAAGTAGTATAAATGACAATATAAATTTCATAAGGATCATTATGGTGACGATGAAATTAAAAGAGAAAAAAATGGACAAGCACAACAATTTGTAGCTGAAGATAGACAAATAAATGAGTTAAACAAGATAATTGTTGGTAAAAATTGAAGGTAAATTTAGAACAGCATATTAGAAAGAACTGATGCAGAAATTTTGATGCAGAAATTCTTTTTTGAAATTCGAACTGCAACAATCTAGTTTGGTTCCCATCAGCATAAATAAAATTTTCCACTAGATGAACAGTTAAATGTTCAAGTGATTGAAAAAAGGTTTTTATTCATAGACAAACAACAAGTACACTATTTCAGTAATTTTATGCATTTTAGAAATTTTTGATTTTTTGCGAAAATTTCAATGAATTTAAATCACAAGTTTTGCATTTAAATTCGAAACAAATGTTTAACTATAAAATATTTTTTATTTTGTTGTTATTTTTATTTATTAATTAGTTTCTCCTCTCTTTTTCTTTTCTTTGGTTATTTATTTTTTTCAATTTTATAAATTAAGATGCACAATTGTTATAATAACCAAACTAACACAGTTTATCAACTAACATAGTAAATAATAATCTCACCAACTAACAGAGTTGTAAACATAAACTAACCAATTAACTAATTTGTTCAGATATCAATATCTGTGATAGAATCACAATTCATCGACTTTTAACTCCATTCTTTAGCACAAAGGAAAGCCTGTGATAGAGTTAGTGAATAATATACCATTGAAGATTTTTTCCAGCTTTCCAGCAACATATAAAGCGGAAATCTTAAGGGAAAGTTGGGTTCATCAAGAGCTTTTTTTTAGACTGACCCAATTGATGAAATGGTTAGAAAGAAAAAAAAAGTTGGTGTATTTATCTGATAAAATATATATTGGAAATTTTCAAAATGCTTCAAATTATAAGGTTTTTTGCTCTATTTTTATTATTTTTTTGCTTTTATTTTTTTCAACACTATTTCTCTCTAAATAATTTAAAAAAACTAAGATGCACCTCTAAAATAGAATTTTTCTCTCTCTTTAATAGAATCTTTCTTCTCTCCTCTGTAATAGGTTTTTTCCATTAAACATGACATTTTTAAAAATTCTCTAAAGCTTGAACAAAAGGTTCAAATAGACCCAATGACTACCAACAAGCTTGATCTATCTACTCCTGGAGAAAAAAAATGTTACTCATGCTTTGCAAAGCATTTAGAAGATAAAATCTGTTGTTTCTCACATTTAAAGAAAAATTCAAAAGAAGAAATTTCCTTTCATTCAAGTGTAATGAATTCAGAACAGAAACTTCCCTCTAGTTGTATTACGAAGACTTCTTCAAGTGAATGTTTTCAAAAAGAAAAGTATTTTCAAGATGTCATTATTGAATATGAGGTTAGTGCTTAGTTCCTCAATCAACTGTTTATTTGTTTCTTTTACTTTGATAGTTTTTACGCCTACTTGGTGAATTCCGCTTTCCTTAAAAATGCCAAATATTGTCCTCCTATTTATTGTAAATAATTAAAATTGCACTGGTTACCAATAATTATTGTGCTACCATTTTTGATATTTTAAGTATGTCATAAAAAATTTTAGCAAGGTGTTATTTTTAAAATTTTAGCAAGGTAAATTTTTTAAAAAATTAAAAAACAGTTTAGTTTTTACATATATTTTTAATAAATAAAGTTTTATTCATTTCAGTATAAAAATACTCTCAAATAAGTAATCACATATAGAATGTTATTCTCAATATTATAGAAAATGTTATTCTCAATAATATTTTTGCCATTTAATTATCTATTCAAATTCATAAAATATACAAATGTTTACTAAATATATAGAGTAAACCACCATTTAAATAAATGTTGTTAAAAACTCTGATATGTGGTTTTAGTGCTCTTCTAATCTTGATTTGTGGTTTTGTAAATCTGAAGAAAAAAAAAAAAATTATTTTTATGTTATATATTACTAAATCATGTTCTCAATCCAACATTACTGTATGATATAGTGTAGCGGTTGAATTTTTGCAATTGGGCTTTAATTGTGATGCCAGACAGGTTCTCATTATTTTACACAAAAGTATAGTTAGAAATTTACTAGTTGGGAATTCACCAAGTAAAGTTTTTACAGAAGGAGTTCTTTAGGCGTAAATAAATATAACATTTCTTATTTATTTTAATTATTAAATTCTTTAATATAGTACATCATTGATGAATTTGAAGTTCTTCACATTCAAACTATTGAAGTTTGTGATGATGAATTCTTTGCTGAAGAGACAAAATTTCAAATGGTTGCTTCTAAAAAGAATAATACTATGATTAAAAGTGAAGAAAAATCAAGAAAAGAATCAAAAAATAAGTTTTTCTCCTCAAATAAATCACAACAATGTGTGGTAATTATAATTTGTATATATATTTTTTATAATAATGAATTGAAAAACATCTATTTATGTATTTATGAGCAGTATTTATGCAGGTTCAAAAGTCATGTATATCAAATTAAATATCTCTGTGAGAGATTTAAAATATGTCTCAAATTTTAAAATAACATAGTATTAAATATTTCCATATAAAAATTGCATTTCAAATCTATACCAACAAGCATTAGACAGTAATTAATTAAATTTTTTTTACAAAATTAAGAATTTTTAAAATTTTAATATTGTGTATCTCTTTTCTCTTTCCTATTGCTCCCAGCACCACTGAGACCAGGGGTCATGGTCTCTGTACTATTATAGCAACCATTGTTTTAATATTTTCTAATATATTTGAAATGTTTAAAAATAATGTTTGTCGAAATACCCCCTCCTCCTCCAGATTGAAATGTGTTCTAAGAAACCTGTTTTTGTTATTATCTGTTCTTATCTTCATCCCTCTTCTACTTCATTTCAGCTAAGTATTTACAAAAAAATAACATCCTCAAAGATCAACTCAAAATTAAAAGTGATTTCACAACACCATATGAAATTAACTATTATAACTTAATTCTAAACATATCGTTTATATAAAGATCACAACAAAGAACACCGGAAATTCATTCAATCATTTAGTCTTGCTTTTATTTTTTAAATACTAGTGATGCTTTTAATTCCAAAGTAAGCAAGTAGTGACGTAAAGAAATCCAGTAGTGTAATAAGAACCTTTATTGTTTGGGGTATTCTCAAACTTATCGCCCTTTCCAAGTCAATTAAATGTTGGTTTTTATAAATTAATAAACAAAAAGAAATAAGTTTTATCAAAACAAGCTATAGATGGGAAACATTTTTGCCATTTAATGCCATTTTTAAAGTAAGCAGCAATAACGAGGTTGTAAGTATATATATATATATATATATATATATATATATATATATATATATATATATATATATATATATATATATACTTTATTAACCCATTTTACACATGATGTTTATGTACTTACTCTTCTAACTTTATGCTCTCAAAATCATGTATAATGATCTCAAAATCATGAATAATGCTCTCAAAATTATGTATAATCTATGTATTGTGTATAATCCTCTCAGAATCATGTATAATCTATGTATTATGTGTAATACTCTCAAAATCATGTATAGTGCTCCAAAAGTCATATATAACTAGCTGTCATGACCTGTATGATACGAGTCATGGTAAATCTGTTCCACACCCAACTATATCTAAACTTTTTTTTTAATTTTGTCTTCTTACATCAAATTAGAAATTTAATTAACAGAAGAAAATCAATCAATTTAAAATTCTTGGCTTTTGGTTAACCATAAAATTACTATTTTTTAAAACTATACTTATTTTCTTCAATAATTTTTAACATAGTTGACAGTTACATTTCTCCCAGTGTTTTAGGAAATTTCTGGTTTTAACAAAAAATTCTATAAATAATTATTTTTTAACACTCTCATTAAGAATTATTTAAAAAGCAAAGGAGGACACAGAAACTGGTCACAGAGATGGTATATAAGTTAGTTCTATTTGTTTTACAATTTTTATAGAAACTTTTATGCAACTCATAACATATTCTTTCAATTAAGCTGTTTTTAATACCAGTTTTTGCGAATTATTAAGTTACTATAGCTATTATTTGTGCCGAATCTCGGTACAAAAATATACTTAATGGGAATGGAAATATTGTGAATGGAAATAATCATCAAAGTGATTAAAGTTTAAATGTTTTCCATTCACATACAAAAATAAGGGAAAAATATAAAAACAAAGCAAAAATGGTCAATGCATCCATATTAAAATTATTTCAAATAGAAAAAATATAAAAATTTATATGAGAAACAAAAAACATATTTTTCTTGAGATAAAACACAACTTTAAACTTTTTTTGTAACAAAAAAAGAATTACAAAAAAAATATATTTAACATAAAAAAGTATCAAAAGTACTTATAAAAGGAATATAAGCAATAACATTGATTCATTATTATATAGCTTTTAGTAAATGCTACGAAGATCAACAAAATTTCCTTTTAGCTTTTAGAAAACGATCAACATTCAGAAACATTTCTTAAATTATTTTATGTAGGAAAACTTTCAAAAATCAGTCATAATTCGACCTAAAAATGGAACATTAAAGTTATTGGGAGTATAATCCATAAATAAAATCTTAATTTAAATTTCAAAATTAGTTCAAGTTATTGAGGATTATCAAGTTGTCCTGAGGTTATTGTACATATTTTAACTACTAACAGCACACACATGCATATCCATTTACATAAATTCATAACTTTATATGACACATATTAACATTAACATATAATAAAAACATATATTACCAAATCACGAGACATAATAATACTTAAAAAAAACTATTACAAATATAACATTTTAAAAATACAATATTATTTGTGTAATATTCGTTCAATGAGATTCATTCAAAATAGATAATCAAATGTCTTGGTTCTAGAACGTGCTACATATAATTTGATTGTGTGAAAACCAAGGCTTTTTGAGATTAACATTAACTTTATCAAATGTTTGACCCTGACTTTTATTTCAAGATATTTTTCAACAAGAGTTGTATTAACTCATGTATACAACCATTATTACCAGGTTACTCCATTCTGAATAACACTGCTGCATTAGGATCATAGGTAAATAACTGACAGTATGTGGGCAGAACACCTTCTTCAAGCTATAAATTTCCAACATGGTACAAAATTTGCCCACAGAGCCTAAAACAGAAAAGACCATTATTTGAGGGAGGAGCTATTTTGGCTGTGAAGGAAGCAAAAGATAAAGAAGAATTATAACTCCTTATGTGTTTAAAATATTTTTGATCGGCAGTATGATCAGCATTGTTTTTTGTCATTAAATCAGTCAACAATGGTGGATATGGAGAAAGAAGAGCTAATTCAACTTTTCCTGAATGGCAGTACAAAAAATAACTTTCATTTAAAACCTCTTCGCATCACAATACCAACAAATATGCTTTAATTCTCCAAGGTAGTTACTCTCTATAGCAATATAGTTGCTTGCTATGCAATGCATTAGTTCTCGCCTGATTTCTTTAATTTTGATGACAATTTATTTCAGCTTGCCTAGGCTCATCTCTTTTAATACGGCGACGATTTATCTCAGCTTGCCTCATTTCGATGACGATTTATCTCAGCTTGGCTGGACTCATCTCTTCCATTTTTACTGATTAAGCAGATAGTAACAGATTATAAAGATTTCTGATTACTGGTCAAAAATATGAAGAGAAATATTAAAAGGTCAAGCTTGCTAAATCTTCTTTAAAAAACTCCGCGTCAAACGCGCACGAATGAGTAACGGCAGCAGCGTTAAATTAAACATCAATACACGACACAGTGGGCCAGAAATCACTTTTACTGGACAAAACTAATAACTCGTCTTATAAAAAAGATTTAATAACCATTTTTGCACCGTTTACTAATTTGAGGATTGCGGTTTTATTGGTGACATTATTTTTATCTTTGGGTTGTTGTGGATACCTAAATTGCTTAGCAACCATATATTTTATTAATAAATAAAAAGTAAAAAAAATAATAACTTTATTGGATTTCTCCTATAATTACCACATTACGAGTATTTTGATACTACAAATGTAGTGGTATTATGGATTTTTTATTTTGTTGATAGTGACACCTAAAATGCCTGACGCTTCATTTTGCATACTTACTAGCTTAACCCTTTATTGCTTACAGTAGCCATATGGCTACTATCAATTTTTAGAGTTATTTATTTTGTTGATAACGTATTATACATAATACCATTATTTTTTTCTCAAAGTATTAGCTTAATACAAAAATAAAAACTCTTCAAATTAGAGTTTCAACGTGATTTTTTTAAATACAGAATTAATAAGTTACTAAGGGTTTTTTGACTTGTTTTAGTACTTTGGTAGATATTGCTAATTGTGAGTTAATAAAGTTTTAATAATGCTGCCGGTTGGGTAATACTCAATTTTGTATTTTAAAAGGTTATAAAATTTGTTTAAAATGTTTTGAAAATTAATTCATAAAATTGCTGTTCTGCCCTCATAATCTTGCTGGTACCATATAGTTACTCTAACCAGAATTGAAATAAATTTTGAAAAAAGATATATATATATATATATATATATATATATATATATATATATATATATATATATATATATATATACAGGGCCGTAGGAACAAAAATTGTATTGGGGGGGGGGAGAGGCAACACTACCCCAAAGTAGGTTTAAGGCCCTTTTTTTTTTTTTTTAGTCAATTTTTCATTAAATTTTTTCAAAATTATTAATTTGAAAAATTATTGGGGGGGGGCACCTGCTGCCCACCCGGTTGCTACGGGCCTGATATATATATATACTCAACACATTCCCAATTACTAATTTTAAGTATTTTTATTCAGTTTCAAGGCTCTATTTTATATTTCATGAAACTTCTACACAGTCCATATATTGTGTATATAAAATATTAAGATTAGTTAACTTCAGGTTTTTTTATATTATATATGAATAAATATCAATACTTTTCATGTTTTAACTATATAAGTATAAATTTTATTTACGAAATTTTACAAATAGGTATTTTAGAATGTATAATTAATAAAACAAGTTTGTAACACTAATCTAGGATTGCTGAGACATAATTATTACCAAATCAATTAGAATAAAATACATATAATGTTTTCGGCACATAATATCGGATGCATCATTTACCCGTTGGAGATGAGCTAGCAACTAGCTAGTCGCTACTTATGGGTAAAAACGCGTTAAAGACATATAAAATACGTAGTAATACGTGCTTTAGACGTTTTAAAACCGTCTTGCGTCAACAAGCTATCTTTTTTTCTACCGGTTAACTTGCAAAAATCATTAATAGAGACCAGGCGGACATCCGCGGATTGTAAAACAAATTTATATTGATAATATACATATTG